TAAATTACGATGTAATGATGAACAATGCCTTCGTTCTGAGTTGTTTAAAGCGTTTACCTAAGGCTGATTTTTAGAAGGCGCTCTGACTCTGAGATGGCGAACGGGAACATGGTTTGTGTAACACTAGCATCACATTATTAGCTTTGATAACGTAGTCAAGCAAAAGGCTAATCATAGCAATTACCGTTATGTGTTCGACGTTGTAGAGAGCGATATATTAAAAGCATTTCTGATACATCGACTTGTAGATGAGCCTGTATAATTTACTCTTCCACTTCTTCTGAATCAGTTTTTGGTTCAAACATATATGGCTGAATTAAACCAGTATTTCCACTTGCCATTGTGCAGCGTTACTACAGTAAAGTTGACCGAGTGCATTTGATCTCTGAGCTGGTGTGAGTGAGTGGAGGCATTGCTAATATAGAGTTACATACAAGCTATTTTAAGGCATTAAGACATTTTTTTTTCTCAGGAAAAAACGTTTAAATATGTCATTTTGGTGATTAACGATGAGCTTTAAGAGATGCAATTATTGACTACAGGGGAACTTTAATGTTTACAGCATTAGTTGAGAGATTTTTTCCTTAATTGAGAAAAATGAACATGTAGCTACTGTAGCTACCTGATATTTATTCAAATTAATCGATATTCAATCAAGATTGGAATCAAAACACAAGCTTATTAATTTAAATCGTGAAATTTGTGTCAAGCACTAATAAAAACAGTAGCCAGTTAGTGTACAATGTAAACATTGTGAAATGTTGTCTCTAAACTTAATGAAATTCTGTTTAGATACCAAATAACCAACAAATAGCAGGCGTCACTGCTCACTACTGGACAACTAAGGGGAGTAAAGCTATCTTTACATCCACCTTGTATGAAAATTTTGTGATATCGCATAAAAAATGTGATGGAAACGGCAAGATGCACATAATAAATGCGTTTAAAAACTTGTGGAGTTTTTATTTTTTTACCCGATAAGAAGACATGCGCATAAACTACAATACATTTACCAAATTACTCATTATTAATGCGGAACAAAAAAACTCATGTGACTTTCCCTCAACAGAGGATGTGATTGGATAACTGGACTAACCAGGGGACCAGTTTTATTGCACGGCATATCAAATGTTGTTTTTTTCACTCTGAAATGCCTGAGCCAAAGCTTGTCATCAAAGTGGCTGGGTATAATTACCTGCCAGTCCCAGAAGCGTCTCACACGATTGCTCTCCCAAACACCAGGTATCCGCCTCAGAAAGCAAGATAACATGACAGTGTTTGTTGGGTTTCGTCTGCAGATATGGCATGGGGAAAGAAATTTCAAGTGTAATGCCAGGGTTTCCTAACCTTTGTCTAATTGACAGGTTTTATTTTTTCCTATCTCTCGCTTTTAATTAAATACACTGCTGAACAATAAAAACTAATTTGTATTCTGTAATATTATCTCTTATATGACAATTTTATGACTGTTTATGTACTACAAACACTTTTGCGTTGAGTCATCATGGATTTTATACAATGCAAAAAAAAAAATTGCTATCACAGAATTAGGCAGAAAACATATTTTATAGTTTCTATACTGTAATAAAGGCTGCGTTCAACTTCATCCAGTGGGTGGGCGAGGGAGTTTATTTGGACAGATCCTCGACCCCTCGATTTTGACTGAGGGAGTGAGTCTACTCAATATGTACACTTCAGGCAGATCCATAGACCACAATGGAACATGATTGCGATGTCACTGTCAGGGTTATGTTCTGTCTTGTCTTAGTTTTCATGATGTTTAGTTGCTGTTTTCCTTTGACCCAGTTTTCCCATGTGTTTTATTTGATTCATCCTATTCACCTTTCCCTCATTAATGAACTCTTTAGCTCTTTTGTTTGCCCTGTGTATTTAAGCCCTCAGTTTCTGTTAGTTCTTTGTCCTGGATTGTTTCATGTCAATGTGTATGTGGTTGTGTTTCCGCTGAGTTGTTCTTCTAGTTAATATTTTGATTCATGGATTAAAGAACTATTTTGCATATCTCCTTCGTCGGTCGCTTCATTACAGCCATCCACCGTGACAGGATCCAGGACCTACAGAGACTCAGTGCATGAATCTGGCTGACAGAAGAAGACAGGCTGAGGACAATCTTCTGTACACCATCTGTCAAAACGGTCGACCTCTAGAGCGCTATGTGGAGGAGTTTTTGGAATATTCCCATCTGGTGAGAAGGAGCGATTCTACGCTCGATGCCTGCTTTTGGATGGGACTGAATGATGATTTATTTTAAATTCTTGCTCCCGGTGAATGTTATATACCCTTAGTTCAGTGGTTCTCAAACCTGTCCTGGAGTACCACCAGCCTTGGACATTTTGTATGTCTTCTTATATCTGACACACCCATTTCAGGTCTAGTCTCTACTAATGAGCTCATGAGTTGAATCAGGTGTGATAGATGAGGGAGACATCCAAAATGAGCAGGGCTGGTGGTACTCCAGTACAGGTTTGAGAACCACTGCCTTATTTGATTATATTAATTACATCCTTTGGCTAAATGGTTCGGATTTCATGGTGTCATTTCATGATGAAGTTAAAGGACGATACAAACCATCATCCAGTCCCATCCCGAGAGCGTTTGGGTGCTCCAGCTCACCCCGAACCTGCGACCGAACCCTCAACATCGGAACCATCTCATTCATTCCTCCAGTCTTCCCTTGAGCCGGAAGATGGTTTCGAACAGCGTTGACCTGGTAGCAAAAGTTCCCCACATCCAGAGTCCACTCCTAAGTCCATTCCAGTGGGGGAAATTCCCGAGTCAGTTCTGGAGACTGAAATTCCATAGTCCACTCCAGTGGGAGAAATCAGCGAGTCCGTTCCAGTGAGAGAAATACAGGGTCCGTTCCAGTGAGAGAAATTCCTGAGTCTGCTCCAGAAAGTGAAGTGAAGCCTGCTCTCGACAGGGAAATTCCAGAGCGTAGCCCAGAGAGCGTTGCACTGTCCATAATGGCTCTGTCATTATGTGTCTGGGCCACACACATCCACTCCAGCCCCTGAGCCCGCTCCCGCTCCTCTGTAGTACTTCCGGATTACATGTAATACTTCCGGATTACATACTACACACATTCATACTATATAGAACATACTTTTTTTAGTGGTCGTGTAGTAATACTTATTCAAAATAAGTACCTACAAAAGACAGTATGCGTATTTATTTGTACTTTATTGTAAAGCGACCTTGAGTTTTCTGAATGGCGCTATATAAAATAAACATTATTATTATTATTATTATTATTACTTCTACGCGTCCGTTTTGAAGATTCTGGGAGAGAGCACCCTATGGCTTCCACTATGATTGAAACATACTTTACATGAGAGTTTAGCGCTCAATGTTCACATCGCTTCAATTTGGATAATAAACATCAGGTCATGCATAGATTATATCGTCTCTTTGAATTTGAATCTAGATTTATTCACATTGGCCCATGAAAACCTCTACGTGAACAAAGTACAGCGGACAAATTTACGTTTTATTAAAAGTGCAGGGGGCATGTCGTATTCTAGGCCAATGCTTAGCAATATATTTTTAAATAATTTCATTAGCAATTTTTGCTGTCATAATCTTTCATCAAAATGCCAAAAAACGTACCCATGTGATATGACTCACTTTACCGTCTAGCATATGAAAGGCCACAACTTACTCTCTTCTGTGGATCATAAAAGAAGATATTGTGAAAAATGTTTTTGGGGTTTTTTTTATCATATATTTGAAGTCAGTGAGTTCCAATATTTTTTGGTTGCCAACATTCTTCAAAATATCCTTTATATTCCACAAATATAATTTTTTTGTTGAAAAATCTCTTCTGGGAATGGATGGTGTGAACTTTTCCACCTTGTGTTAAGATGCATTTTCAGTGCGATCACAAGTGGTCAGCCGAGACGTACTGTTTCCACCTATTAAAATGCATGTCTTCTGTGACCACTTCTGATTGAATTTCTTTGTGACAGTCCCCTCTTATTTTGTCACTCTACATCACTTTCTAGGTAGCAAGGATTTATTGTACAAACACTATTGACTGAACAAACCCATGTTACGCGGATTACGGGTGTGATCAGAAAGGAAGCAACTGAAAAGGATAAAAAAAAGCAGCTACAATTTCGTTTGTAATCCATGTGTTTTGCTACAATGCAGCAAAGTTTGAATTGCATAATGTTTTGGTGCGCTTTCTTTCAGCACGTCCCACAATGATTATGTATAAGGTCAGTAGGCGAAGCGTAGGTGGCCTTTTGTTAAATACACTACAAAAGCAATTCGGTGGAATGTGTTTTCAAATAGCTCTGGAAATGGTCGAAAGTGGACAAGCTCAAAATGTTTTATGCCCCGTTAACACCTGTATATAGCGACGTCAACTTGCTATCAGATAAATGAGAATGCATCGGGGCCTTTGTTTTCATTTGCATTGGTGGTTGCTGAATCACTTCGTATTTGCATATAAACTTTGCAAACTCTAGCAGCTCAACATTTTCACTCCCGTTGAAGCCCCTCCACACTGCCAGTGACTGTTTTTTGATAGGTTACATAGTGATGTAATGGTTGGTCCTTAGTCGATTAGTTTCCTAATTCTGGTTTCCCTAGTAATAGTTATGAACATTACTGTGGCTAAGTTGTCGTTCCATATAGCCATGTCTCATCTAAGAGTGCAAACACTGGACTGTATGGTTCCACACACATACACACAGTTTTAATTGTTACTGGCGTTTGAAGTTAATGTTAATTGAGTTTTAAATTAAGTAATATTCAAAACTTTTATAAAGTACAACCTACTGAATCCCAATAGACATAAAGTCAAGGACGAAAGTATACATGTGCAAGTGCAACCATAATAGTCTATGAAAAAGCAAACATTTTTATATGCAGTATACAAACCGCTCGGAGTTCAGATGCAATTACCTAGTCTTTTTTTAATCTTATAAAAACATCTTATTACCGGTATTCATCTTTACTCTCTTTTCATTTGCATTTAGGTCAACAACGTGCTTCTTCCCTGAGAGTGAGGAGGAAAGCAGTGGTTACAGATTCAGTAACCATGGAGCCAAAACTAGTCTTACAAAACCCGCCAATCAGCCATAGCAAGAGTGAAGAGTAAGAACCCTCCTAAAATTTTAACACATACTCATGTCTCCTAGTGCTACATTTCCCCAGTGTAACTCTTTGTCTATCTATCTTTATTTCTTTCAGGTCAAAGAGGCTGATAGAATCAGCTTTAGCAGAAAATGAGTGCATGAAATATCTAGATAGGGATCAGATGCTGTGTTTGGTGGATTCTGCCTATCCCATCACGCTCAAACAGGGTGTGTGTTTTGTCCAGGAAGGGGATAATGGAACCCAGGCATACATTGTTGAAGGTGAGGAAGAGTGCAAGAATGAAAGAGTTGTTCTCACCTCATAATCCCTCTCAGAAAGGTACATGTTTTCTTTGGACACATACTGCATGTTGATTTGTGAGCATGTCTGAACATTCACTGATCCCAGTGCTTACATGGTTATATTATAACCTAGTGCTCAAAAGTCACTGATTATTAGCCGAGGTCTAGTCATGCCTCCAGGCTTATTTTGAATTATTTATTTCTTTATGGATTGCAGTGAGATGCGCTTATGTTACGGTACTGTTCATCTTTTTCTTTAAGCTCCTAGTTACCCTCCAGCTCTCTTACCAAAGCGACTTTACAAATATAATAATAACTTTGGCCACAGCCTGACTATTAAGGGGGTCGCAAACCGGACAAGAAGAGCAGCTCCGCATCGCGTCTATAGGACAACTCGAGGTATCGCACACCGAACAGTACTTTCTCAGTTTATGGCCAGCAATATTGTTATGTTTAAGGACATTATGAAAGTAAGATAACGCGGCGCTGCGCTTCTCGTCCCCTTTAAACTTTTAGTAAAGGGAAATGTTTCCTTCTCCAGCAATAACAGACTCCCTGCAAAAGCTGATATATATGACAATATTGTGATGAAATACACTGCACAAATGGTTAAAAACAGATTAAAATGGTCAGGGACCTTGTTTAGTTTAACTGTTCATAAGCTTGGTGTCACCGTTTCTCCCTGCCTTGTTTGTCGACATGGTCACTGATTTGATTTTGTCATTGTGTTCAGGTGTGTGCGTGTCATTATCTCCCCTACTTAAAGGTGCTATATGTAACTTTTCTTCTAAAATGAATCCTTTTTTTTATTGCCTGTGTGTGAAGGGGTTGTAATCACACATTACAATGATCCACTTGTCGGGTTTTGCTATTACCGCTGAAGGCCAGTATTCCTATTTTTATGTGAAGTCTCCGGGTCGGATTTTCTGCGAAATCCATCGGATGTGACGTGCATGCGCGCTCCCGAGCCTCTCTCCTTTTTATATACAGTCTATGCGACGGCACTGCAGCTGACGACATGGAGTCTGATAACACCAAAAAACGACCTGCCTCCAGCACAACACAGACTCCAACACAAACTACACATAAATATAAAAAAACAAACAAAATTTATCTGCAAAAATTTATCTCGTCAGCCCAAACGTGAATCGGATCGACTTAGGACGAAAACACGGATCAACATCGGCAGAGCGTTTGAATTATGGAGAGACCTCCGCTATTTTTATTGTGATAAATTACAAGTTTTCAGATATGCTGAAATAAATAATGGTAAACTGTAATGAAATCAAGGTAAACTACAACATATATGAGACATGAAATGAATACAAAAGACTGTTCCAGGATAACAAAAAGTAGGTGCTTTAGGATGTAACTTTTATTTTATGTAGGCTACTAGATCTACTGTCTAACGTCACTCATCCCACTACTATCATATTGTTTATAATACACATTTCCAGACACGTTCAGTACAGTAATGTTACTTCCTACGATCTTACTGTTACACTGAAATTGTTCAGTCTAGTTCACTAACCGTTTTCGTTATCATATTATATATTCACCTATGTTGGCATTGCTGATTGTGAAAGATACACGCATAGTTAGTGAAATGCCTTATGCTATAACACCACATGTCGGCTAAATGCAGTCAATGTAACGTTATCATGGTACGAGCATGGAGCAATAGTTCAACGTCAAGCTGATAAAAGTAGCCTATTATTGTAACGTTGCAGTGGGAGTTTACTTGAGTTTCCAGCATGTTGTGTGATGCTTTCTCCGGTGTGTTGAAAGTCTCAGTGTGGCCGGTACCATGAGTGCACGCTCTTGAGTTTGAGCACGCGCAAGAGCACGAGCGCTCTTGTAAAAATTGGTTGCAATCTGAAACATCACCGATAGAGGCCGCTAAAAAATACATATAGAAACTTTAAGTTAAGTTCAGTTGGTGTGTCTTGGTCGGGTCTCGTCTCTGTGTAGTTGTGTTTTGGATGTACCATGTTGGAGTTACCTCGTTGTTATTAAAGCCTGTCTACCTTCTTCATCATCTTCGTGTTATTCACGTGTTGAGTCTCTCCCACACAACCCGTTACAGAAGGGCGTGCAAGCTCAACATGGCAGCGGAGCCTGAGATGTGCGCGTTTGACCAGATGCAGGTGCCGGCTGTGCCATCCACAACCGAGGGAGCCATCGTGGAATCGGAGGGCAAGGAGGAGAGCCCCGACTGGCTTTAACCTTCAGGCTGGCCCTGTCGCCCGGTGTCTTCACGAAAGTCGCGGAGGCGGCCAATGCTACCATGTGCGAGCGTGGTGTTCGCATTCTCAAGTACCGGCTCATTCTGGCGCAGTCAAGAGAGCAGTTGTGCGAACACAGGAACATGGTGCTCAGTCACCTCAGCCACCTAGGGCTTCGGGTCAACTGGGAAAAGAGCAAACTCACCCCCGGGCAGAGGATCTCTTTTCTCGGTATGGAGCTGGACTCGATCAACATGACAGCGCGCCTCATGGAGGCCCGCGTCCAGTCAGTGTTGGACTGCGTGAGCTCATTTAGATGCAGGACAGCGGTGCCACTGAAACTATTTCAGAGGCTCATGGGGCATATGGCATCTGCAGCCACAGTGACGCCGCTCGGATTGCTTCATATGAGGCCACTTCAACACTGGCTCCACGTTCGAGTCCCGAGATGGGCGTGGCAGCGCGGCTCGTGACGGGTTTCTATCACCCCACACTGTCGTCAAACTTTCAGCCCGTGGTCAGATCCTTCATTTCTACGTCCAGGTGTTCCCCTAGAACAAGTGTCCAGGCATGTTGTGGTCACCGCGGATGCCTCTGCCACTGGCTGGGGGGCCACGTACAACGAGCATGCAGCTTCAGGTCTGTGGACGGGGCCTCAACTGCATTGGCACATCAACTGCCTCGAGTTGTTAGCAGTACACCTTGCGCTGGGCCACTTCAAAACGGCGCTACTAGGCAAGCATGTACTGGTCCATACGGACAGCACTGCGGCCGTTGCGTACATCAACCTCCAGGATGGTCTACGCTCCCGCCGCATGTCACAACTCGCCTGCCATATCCTCCTATGGAGTCAGAAGCATCTGAGGTCGCTTCGTGCCGTTCATATTCCGGGCCTGCTCAACCATGCAGCCGACGAGCTCTCATGGCAGCAGGTGCTTCCGGGAGAATGGAGACTCCATCCCCAGGTGGTCCAGCTGATTTGGAGGCGCTTCGAGACCGCACAGATAGATCTGTTTGTTGCCCCAGACACGTCCCACTGCCAGTTGTTCTACTCCCTGACCGAGGGTACCCTCAGTACGGATGCACTGGCACACAGCTGGCCCTGGGGCCTACGCAAGTATGCGTTTCCCCCAGTGAGCCTTCTTGCACAGACACTGTGGAAAGTCAGGGAGTATGAGTAACAGGTGTTGCTCGTTGCGCTGTATTGGCCCAATCGGACCTGATTCCCCTAGTGCTCCTCGCGACAGCCAATCTCTGGCCCATTCCTTTGAGAGAGGACCTGCTCTCTCAGACACGGGGCACCCTATGGTTCCCGTGGAAAATCCATGTCTGGTGCCTGGACGGGACGCATAGGTTCTAGGTGACCTACCCCAGGCGGTAGTTGACACCATCACTTCCGCTAGAGAACCCCCGAACTTTCTCGATCAGAGCAGTGCATTCCTTCCTGCAAGAAGGGCTGAAGCGAAGGCTGTCTCCCTCCACCCTTAAAGTGTATGTTGCCGCTGTCGCCACACATCACAATGCAGTTGATGGTAAATCACTGGGAAAGCAAGACCTGATCATCAGGTTCCTGAGGGGGCGAGGAGATTAAATCCACCTCGCCCACTCTCGATACCCTCTTGGGATTTGTCTCTGGTCCTTTCGGTTCTTCAGAGACCATCCTTTGAGCCTTTGCAATCAGCAGAGTTAAAAATTCTGTCCTGTCAGACAGTAATCCTGGTTGCATTGGCCTCCATATAGAGGGTAGGGGGCCTTCATGCATTTTCGGTCGACGAATCGTGCCTGGAATTCGGCCCGGCTAACTCTCACGTTATCCTGAGACCCCGGCCCGTATACGTGCCCAAGGTTCCTACCACTCCCTTTCCGGGACCAGGTGGTGAACCTGCAAGCGGTGCCCTCGGAGGAGGCAGACCCAGCCCTGGCTTTTCTCTGTCCCGTTCGCGCTTTCCGCCTATACGTGGACAGAAAGCAAAGCCTCAGGACTTCAGACCAGCTCTTCATCTGTTACGGAGGCCAGCAGAAGGGAAAGGCTGTCACCAAGCAGAGGATGGCCCACTGGATAGTGAATGCCATCGCCTTGTCTTATGAAGCCCAAGGCGTGCCTTGACCGCTTCGGGTTGAGAACCTACTCCACTAGGAGTGTCGCTTTTTCCTGGGCGCTGACGCACGGCGCCTCGCTGACAGATATCTGTAGAGCTGCGGGCTGGGCGACACCTAACACGTTTGCTAGGTTTTATAGCCTACGCTTTGAGCCGGTTTCTTCCTGTGTGCTCGCTTCAACCAGCCAGTAACATCGAAGTTCCCCCTCGGCTTGCTGCACCACTCCCCTCCACATGGAGCGGATACGTGCACTTTTTGCTCCAGTCGACTTCCCCACCTAGACAAACCCTGTAGAGTTCCTTCGCACACTTCGGCAGTCGGACGTGGCGGAGCGTCCGATGCCAGGCCTAGTACTCGTATGCTTGTGTAACTTGTGCTAGGCTGGGTCTCATATGTTGTGATCCCTGCGGCGATCCCATATGTGTATTCTTCCACGATCAGCTCCCTGCAGTAAGCCTGTGTCTTTCCCTTGGCATAGTCTGCTCTGCCGTCACTGTCCGGTGTGGTCTCCCCCTTCTCAGTCTGAAGACAGTCTTTGTGTCTCAGTGAAAAACAAAAGGTGTGTGCATCTGCTTCCGTTTTTATACCCGCGCTGTAGGGCGGGGCGCGAGATGCAGATCTCGCACGCCAATGTGCATTGGCTCGTTCTGTAGATACTCGAAGATGATAGGTTTCCCTGAAATGATCCCGATTACGTCAGCACGTCAACGTAACGTCTCCCGTTCCCTCCTTCAGCAAACGAGGGTTACATACGTAACCGAGACATTATTTGACATGTAGTTGCAAAAATACTTATTAAAAATATCTAAAGTGGACTATTGAAATAAAGTGTAATATGCCAATGATGCAAAATTCTGCAACAATTGATATTTATTTGCATGTACATTTAATTTGAATGATTTTATACATGCTGGACGAAGCCAAGCTGCATTCTTATTATACATATCTGTTAGTCCAACTTCATTTAAAAAAAGACTTGTGCTTTATTCTGATTGAAATCAAGAACAAGCAGCAAAGAGTCAAATAGAATTCTTAAAGATACAGAATCAAAAACATCCTGTTTAATTCTAAAGGTTGAAGAGAAGGTGCAAAACGGTCATAAAAATAAATTATATCATTGGTGTAAGACACCTTAACTAAAATTTCAAGTGGACTTCAGACAATCATTCTGTTCCTTTCTCTGACTGAGGCACAATAATTAGTATGCACCTCCCATAGCATTTGCAGGACCAGGCAGGTAGCAAGAGAAGTGTGAGACTGACCTGCTTCTGGGAAGATAGAGCGAGAGAAAACATTCCTGCTGGTTATGTGAGGTGGAATGAGTTTTAAAATTTCAGTGTGTGTCTAAATACCCAGGTTGCAAGTGAAAAAAAAAGGATGGAGAGCAGGAGAAGAGATCTATCACCGTGCATTAAAGTGTTCATCAATACCTGTCCTTGAGCTGTGATAATCCCCATCCATGATGAGGCAGTATTTGTCCTGATGTGCCGGATTGTTTTGGCTCTGGGCTACTCCGTGCCAAATCTGTGATGGGTCAGATTCAGATCATCTGTCTATGTGACAGGCATACTGTCACTCAACTCCTGTTACTCCCGGCAACCTTGAGGTGTGTGTTTGTGTGTGTGTTTGTTTGTTAACAGAGGGAAAACTGGAGGTATCCAGGGCTGGCCAGAGGCTGCACATCATTGAGCCGGGGATGATGTTTGAAGAACTGGCCCTCATTCATAACCACACCTGCTCCGCTACTGTCACAGGTATTGACACATGTGCACACACATACACACACACACACACACACACACACACACACACACACACACACACACACACACACACACACACACACACACACACACACACACACACACACACACACACACACACACACACACACACACTCACCCAGGTATTGACATATCTGTGCATTCACTCACTCACACACAGAGCTTAGAGGGCTTAATGGAGTCATTTGTCAATAAATGAGGCCGTTGTTGACATACAGTAGGAGTAAAGAGATATAAAATGACTGTGGAAAGTATAGATCATATAATTTGGTTTTGGAAGAATTTGATGAGAAAGGTTTAGTTCATACTGAGAAATCTGTCTTTTGATTACAGACTTTGGAGGGTTGTTCATCTGTTTGAGATCTCTTCTGAAACTCTTTAAAGTCACCATAAAATCAAAATGGATAATTCTTGCTGTTTTTTTTTTATGGAATATTGCAGTATTTATTTAAATCAGTGGTTCTCAACTCCAGTCCTCGGGACCCACTGTTCTGCATATTGTGTATGGGCCTTTCTCAATCTGTGTTCTTGTCTGTACTTGTGTCCTTGTGTTCTTGTGAAACGTCATCTTTTGTGGCCCAAGTACTGTCCCAATACACAAGTTTGCATTTTGGCAAGAACAGTTAAAAATCCCGGATGTGTTCTTGACACGCCCATTTTACCGAGGATGCATCGGCTGGTAACTTGTGTGAACTTGACGGCAGAAATATCCCAGCATTCAATTCGGCATTCGAGGAAGGAGAGGCAGGTCAATACAGTATTTCGTTTTTCTACAATTACGTACACTATTTCATCACTAAATTCACTTCTGAGAACATTTGATGCGAGAAATCAACTGTGTAGATTTCAAATATTGGCATTTTACGAAAATGTATGGCTAATCGAAAATGTGCTCAAACGTTTTCGGAAGTGAGAATCTCCATAAGCGCCTGCGGGTGTAACGTTAGCTATCGAGCCAACCGGCCAGTTTGCTCACAGACTCGTTTTTCCCCACAGTCAAGAGACCATTGCAGCCTGGCTGTTATCGTCAATAATTCTCGTTATGTTTGGGTACTGCAGACGGTGTCTGTGCGGGGGAATTATTGCGCAATACCAGCAAGAACACATCGTCTCAAACTGTCAGCAGCGTTCTGTGTGCTCGTCACCTTGTGAGTTCATTCTTCCAAGAACAACTAGCAAGAGCGTTCTCCCCAAGAACACAAGTCCGTTCTTTGCATTCTTGGTTTTGAGAAACACCCTATGTCTCCCTTATTTAACACACCTGATTCAGATCCTCAGCTCGTTAGGATAGGCTCTTTGAACTGAACTGAGTGTGTCAGATAAAGCCTGGTTCACACGGCAGGATAATTAGGCCGATTTTAGCCCCGATTCACCCCTTCCGACAATCTTAAAGCTGCTGTCCGTAGCTTTTTTTGGGTTAAAAATTATCCAAAATACATATTTGATAAAATACATAACCAGCCAGTGTTCAAAACTATCTGCTTGCCTTAGCTCGATGCAAAACGGTAAGCTTGTAATAATGTTTTTAATTTTAGTGGTACTGGTGGATTTCCGCGGGAGATTCGAGCATGTCTTTGCGTCATTACGTCACATCTGTACACAAAAAGAAGGAGTCTCGGCTAGTATAAGCTATATTGCGTGTGAGGATGTTGGAGGTAGAGATTTATAGCCTTTTCTCACAGCACTTGATATAATTAAACTTATCAATTTGATGGCGGATCCAGAAAGGTTCAAACGGCGATCATCATCAGTGACAACTAGAGACTCACCCGCTGTAACATGCAAAAGACTTCGTTCGGACTTCGGAGTGGCTACAGAAAAAAAGAGACTGCAACCGGACCCATGCGAAAACAAGAATACTTATCGGAAGGACATTAAATGTAGTCACGCAATGCTGACGTTGTTAACATTAACAATCTGAGAACATAGTATAGCTACTTTGCACGGTTTTGCGTGAAATGATAACTTATAAGCAATTGTTAGATTTAATCAGCGCGATTTACTGCAATGTCAGAACCAGAACAAAAGTGAATGTTTCTTACTAGTTCAGATGACATTTCCCGGTGAAAATTGTTATGTTGGTCATACTTCCAAAAAGAATAATCTGTGATTCTGAATGACAATATCCACATCGGCGCGGTGACTGACAGCTGCACACTCTCCTCAAACACTGTGTTCATCCGCGCTGTGCCGTGTCGAGGGTGTTGAACTACAACTCACGTAAAGTTGATAATTCCGCGAATGACTGCAATTGCAGATTTCGAACAGAGATGGCGACAAAGAGGAAAAATGCCGGACTGCAGCTTTAAGGATGCTCCGATTATCGTAAAATAATCTGATCAGATATTCCTGTCGTGTGTGGTGTGTTAAGACTGCTCTCGTCTGCTCAGAAGGACGTCGGGACCGCTCCGATCTCAAATCGGGGATATCCAACATGTTGGATTTTTTTGGCCCGATTTCTCCTCGTGTGTGGTCTCCCCAGATGCCAGCAAGGTTTTCCAGCCCAAAACCTCGTCAAAAACCGCGAGAATGCACAAAAAACGCCCATTGTTTTTACACCCATTGTTTATAGCAACAACACCGACCGCGACGCGCGTCACACAGCAACTGCAGGCTCTGACAAACACACATACAAACTATACTATACTTCTGCATAACGTGTCTCTTTTTACAACAAAAATGTGAATTCTGCCGGTATTCAGACAGTCCCATGCATACAGATACAGATCCGGCCTACAATCGCCTACGTAGGCGAAATTTGTTTGACATTTCTAATCGTAAACACAGCCATGTTGAAGCCTGCAGTAATGTTTTTCATTGATGTTATGGCAGTCCACTCTGCTTATTGTTTTTCGAGAATCTTGCACTCCTGTTTGTCATTGTGCACGAAACTTCATGCCAATAAATCATCAGAAATATTGCTGACTTGTGCGCGTCTCAAGCGCCCTCTTTACGATCGTGCTAATGCCTGTTAGTTGTCCGTGGATTTGCCTGTATTTGGAGCTGAAAATGGAAACGTCTTTAGACATGGAAAATCGATTTTACAATCGATTCAATGAACGTTTGTCTCAAAAATCGATCAGGATTTTTTCACAAAAGTGATAGCCCTGTAAAGTTGTTATTATTATTGTTATTTACAGTTCGTATTATGCTCTGTTCATTACTGTTCTGTCTAAATAAACAGGACATTTGCATTTACATTTGGGTTATGCAGTGTTTTTAATTTATATTTTACACTGGGGTGCCTTGAGATTTTATGCACTTTTGAAAGGTGCCCCGACTGAAAAAAGTTTGAGAAAGGCTGGTTTAGGCTACTCTAAAGTCACGTTTGATTTTGAGGGATTTTGCGAGATTTTCCGTCTGACCTGGGAATGCTCGGGAGTCAAATCGGTTCGTGTGTGATGTGTTGATTTTGCCGTGTGGCTGCGCACCACACACTGTACGACCAAAACTGTTAGACACGTGATTTTTTATCGCTGTGTGTGGGGTCTCTCAGGTTTGTAAAAATCGGCCGACAATTTTAAAATCGTCCCGTGTGAACCAGCCTTAAGAGAAACATACAAAATGTGCAGAGCAGCGGGTCCCGAGGACTGGAGTTGAGAACCACTGATTTAAATTATTTAACCATGCACATCATTATTATTATTTCTTTATATGTGCCCTTTTAATCTTTAATCAAAATAACTTCTCCCTCCTCCCTCTTGCAATGACATCTCTTCTCTTCTCTTGGTGTGAGGGCGGGGAAACCTGTCACTCATATGAGATCCACCAATAGCAAACCACAACCATCCAATCAATTCTCCGTGAACAAATTCAAGTCCTGCCCTACATTTGTTCTTGTTCTAAAAGCTGTTTCAAACTAATATACGTCACAATAGGACAGAACAGATGATGGCAACTTCTGTTTGATGTCAACTTTTAATTAGACAGTATATGAGATTACTGGGGTCTTGGACTTATTTTTCAGGAAAAAGATCTGAGAAGCAGACTTGGAAAAAAGACAATTTATTCATATTGTTGTATAGGCGAAGCAGCTGAGATAGTAAAGATCTCATTTGAATATTATTCTGTAGAAAATGCACTCATAAGTTGTTCACATAATGACTACATATGTCATGTTTTCCCAGTTTAATGCTCAGAGTGTGTCTGGGTAATCAGAGTATTCCCACCATCCGTCATCTGAAGCTGTACTGAGAGATCAGTGTAATATGACATCAAAGGAAAAATCATATCAATTCTCAGCTTACAACACACCACAATAGAGTCCACAAAACAAACTCCATATTGAATGGACAGATCTACAAAACCTGATTTTTATGTTGATCCTTCAAGTCTTATTACAATAGTTGTTTTGGGTAATTTTGGGAAATATTACCTCTTAATTTTAATACAAAATGCAGGTGTATCCTATGAATCCTGTTTCCACCTCAGAATAAAATTGAAAAAAGGTCATTGTAAGAAAAAAAAAAGTCACATTGTGAAGCACAAAGTCACTGTCACTAGAAGTAAAGTAATTTTTTTTTTTCACTTGTAAATACATTGATTGCATGTTACATTTTTGGGGGTTCTGTAGAGAAAATATGTAATTTCTGTGTGTCTTTCTCCAACCCTGAAGAAGATATCTTTGTCAGGTAGATGAATTAATGTTCATTCTTTGAGGTGTATCCCCCACAGCATGCTTTGATTTATGACTCTCTCAACACCTCTTCTCTCTCTTATTTCACATACTCTCTTGAGCCCATTCTGAGCCACAGGGACATCAGCTAGACCTATTCATTTTAATATATAGCATAAAAAACAAGAAATACGGTCTGAAAGAAAGAGAATGAGCTAAAAAGATGGATTGAAAGTGAATGGAGGATCCAATCAAGTCAGATCATTTTCTACCAGATCTTTCTTTTATTCAACAGAGAATGTCTGACTTGATTGTGTGTAATTTTCATCTTTCAGTTGATGTCCTTTTCCAATTCTGCATTTCTCTTTTATTTACCCACTCTCAGTCTCTCTTTCTGAATTTTCAGGCTTTTTCTACCCTTACATCCTATTTATTTCAAGACTCTGTTCAAGCTTTCCTCAACTCTTTTCTTCAGGTCTTGTGTTTGGTGACAGCCTGAAATTGCTTTCTTTTTACTTTTCTCCTGTTTCGTTTCTGATCTTTGCTGTCTAACCTGATCTCTTCTATAGGTCTAAGTAAAAGATAAACACAGTTTTCTCAGTCAGGGAAGCTTGTTTCAGCCACAGAATAAAACAATTTAAAAAGATAATTGCGACTTTTTATCGCACAATTCTGACTTAATGTGTGATATAAACTCGCAATGGTGAGAAATAAAGTCAGAACTGTGAGATATAAACTCGCAATTGCGAGAAATAAAGTCAGAATTGCAAGATATAAAGTCAGAACTGCGAGATATAAACTCGCAATTGCGAGAAATAGTCAATTTCAAGAAATAAAGTCAGAATTGCGAGTTATGTCTAATTCTTAGGGGAAAAAGACTATAACTATATTTTTTCTCTGAATAGTGACTTTATATCACGCAATTCTGACTTTATAAATCACAATTGCAACTACATTTCATGCAATTCTGAGAAAAAAAAAGTCAGAATTGTGAGATAAAAAGTCACAAATACCTTTTTTATTTTTTATTCTGTGGCGGAAACAAGCTTCCATAGTTTCCCAAAGCCAACTATGGTCGCAAGTTCTGTCGATACCAATAGAGTTCAATAGAATTTGCAACCATAGTTGGCTAACCATGCTTTTGAGTCTGAATTGAATAAAAATGTTTGGAACAAGAAGTCAGGAACCAATGTTACGGTAGCGCAGGGAAGAGGAGAGGCTGGATCTAATTGCAGCAGTTTATTAACCATTAATCCAAAGAGGAATGAATATGAAAATAATCCAAACAGGGAACAATAAGCGCAACATCTTTACAAACATGTGCAAAGACAACAACCATCAAAAGACAACTGAAACACAGGGGTAGATATACACAGGATAACAAGAGGCTAACAAGTAACAGGTGTGGGAGATGAATCACTATGGAGACTAACAAGGGTAACTATGGAAAAAAACATGGCAGCTGTGGAAACAAATGCTAAATTCAGAACTGCATACTAGCATACCCCTCGTACTACTTTTACCATATCTGCAAGTACCCAGCAAGCAATAGCCATAATTTCACCGTCTAGGTTAACTATAGACCCGATATAGTCCGGCTATGAGTAACCCACTTCTAGCCAAAATAACCTTGAATTTGGTTACATGTCGTTTTTGCCAAAATAACTCGCGAGATATGTGATATTCCATCATGCAAGCAAAGTCAACAGTGATTACAAGGTGTTTGGTTTCCTTTATTTGACATGTCATCTAATCGATGACTAGTCTATTATTGGGCTATGGTTAGACGTCTATTAAATTTTCACTGACAGAACAAATTTAGTCTTGTTTTAGCTTAGACGCCTGGGCTGTGTTTGGACAGCTATTAGATGTTTTTTAAAAACGCAAAATTGTGGTTCCGAATTCAGCAAAAGACAAACAGGAACTAAACATTAGAACAAAAGGAACAGAACATGCAGTTAACCCACTACATAAGAAACATATGTCGCACATATACGGCAGATTACTGCTTGATTCAACAGATAATACGTTCCATATAAAGACAAAGTGGGAGTTTGAAATGAATGACCATATAGAGGATGAGACTTGGGTAAACATTTGCACAGGATGTCATAAGGGCATCAACAGTCATAACTGGAAAGAGTTTGACTGGAAAACAAAAATCAGGTTTTTTTAGAACACCACAGGTGATATCAAAATTTGTGGATAATCCAGAAGCAGAGAAATGTTGGAGGGAGTGCGGGAAAGTAGGAAGCCACACACACATATTTTGGGAATGTCCAAAAGTAGTTACATTTTGGCAAGAGGTTAAGAATGAGATTATGAAAATTATGCATGTAGATCTGCCTTTTACTCCCTTGTATTTTTTGCTTGAAGGAATACCCAAAGACTTTTGTAGTCAAAATCAGAAATATATTCTACATGTCCTCCTACTATGTGCACGAAAAACCATTACAATTAATTGGATGAAGCCACACCCACCAAAAATAAGTCAATGGAGAGAAAAACTTGTATCTATTTATAGAATGGAACATATGACTGCCCAACTCCAACTGAAACTGGACACTTTAATACAAAGATGGACACCTATTAATATATACATTGAGGCATTGAGTGTGAACTGATTGGGGAGAAACTAAATTAATACCATTCTTTTTCATTCCATTCATTTTTTTTTTTGACCATATAGTGTTTTATGTATTTTGTATTTTATTATTTTCTTTTCATTTTATTAGGGCCACTGTGGTTGTCAGGGAATGTTTAGTTCAATGTTAATAAAGTCCTAGAACACAAAACACAGGGGAAATTGTAGCATTGAATTAAGACCGTATGGACAGAGTGAGTCATGCACTTGATAAAAGGTGATAAAATCGAGAAAATGATAACTCCACTGCTATTATTAATATAATTCTAGTCAAATAGAAGTCAATCATAAACCTTCACAAATGGTCAAATCTGATAGAGATTGTTGCTTTTTACTGAGAAGCTGTTAAAAATGTCACAATCTGTAATGGTTTCTTGAATTTAAATGGATGCAACAATTGCATTTCAATGTCTCACAGTCATATGTGTGTTCACGATGTTTATTGCAGGTCAGTGCTGCATTTTTGGGTTCAATGATTTTTCTCAAATTCTCAGCTATTCCACAGAGATCTCGCAGAGAAAAGGACAGGGATAAAAGAGAGGTAGACAGGGGTACCAGGGGAGTTAATGAATCTGTGACATTACTAATTCAAGGGGGTCTCAGGAACAGGAAGTGATAGAGAATGAATTGGAGGTGAACTATTTTCAGCTGATCCCTCTCTTTTTTAATGGAGCTTGGTAGAAGCAGGTCAGCATAAGGTTCATTAAGAATTCACTTGCGCTTTATTAATAAACATTCTCACTTGTACATTTGTTAATGCTAAACTTGCAATAGTGTATGTTTTTCCAGTGGCAGAAACTGATGTCTGGAGAGCATAAGCCATTATAATGGTGATATACCTAAACTTTAAAAACAGCAAAATGCACACAGAATTATTTATTTATGTATAATATTTACTCAAAAAAAAAAAAAAATGTATCCATCGACATGGTATATTTTGGAATTTTAATTTTTTAGGTTAAATATCACTATTGTTATTCAGCCTGCATGGCCAATGTTATTGACAAATTAATATCAATTGACCAAATATCTGTCAATTATCATTCTATTCATTATCATTCATGCTATTTGTGTGTGTGTGTGTGTGTGTCTCTGTCTCTCTCTCTCACAGGGGGCTTTGGACAATAACAATTTTCCCGCCAACTTCATATATTACCAATAGCCAGTCCACGCTGGTCTGGTTTTTCTGCAGGGATCTCAAACTGGTTTTTCGAATGCAGTTCGTACCATCCATATCAATTTCTTTGTCTGTCTTTACATGTCTATCCACCACAGGTGACCTGTCTCACTCTCTCCTTTGAACCCCGTCAGTCCGCAGAATGCTTGCGATTCAGTGTGAATGTGTGTTTGTCTGTGCAGCTCTTGTGAACAGCAGGCTGTGGGTGATGGAGGGTCAAGTGTTTCAGAGGGTCATGCAGAGAAGAAGCCTCATCACTATCACTCAGTCTCTGCCATTCCTGCGCAGGTAAATGCCACCAGCAACATTTTCATATAGATGTTTAAAAGATTTTACACTTTTGTCTTCTTGAGTAGACTTTAAAGTCCCCGTCTAGTCAATAACTTGATCTTTGATCATCAAAATGACATATTTAAAAGTTTTTTCCTTGAAAAAATAAATAAAATTAGCTTGAATGTAACTTTACACCCTTGCCTCATTTAGTATACACGGTTATATGAATATGCTAATGAGCCCCGCCTCCACTCACTCGCACCAGCTCAGAGATCCACACGTTGATCTGATTGGTTACAAGGTAGTTTGTGACGTCAGAAACACCAGCGATTTCAAACCGTGTTTTTGAGGCTGTCTTTGGTCCACTGCAGTTTTAAGGAGAACATACTCAGCAATGGTGTTGAATTTACACATGGTTTGCCTTAAAGCATATTAAAAACAACATAAAGACATATAAACAACATTAAAAGCTTGATTTTCACCACAGGGGGACTTTAAATAAATGAGGAAATATATTTTTTAGTTATTTGCATATTTATCCCACATTGTAATAGGTTTTTTTTGTTAATCTTTTTTGTGTAAATATATTTTATTTGAAAAAATGTACTGTCAAATTAGGGTCATAACCACCATGGACATGGGGGGAACCAGAACAGAGGGGACGTGTTCCCGCAATATTCAGATTAGCAATCCAATGATCATATCCTTGCAAATATCCAGTTGCTATTTATCCTTTATAACCCCAAAGCAACACATTATTTCACTCCACAGTAAATTTAGACACACAAAAAGAAACAAATATTTATACATATACATATACACACACTATGGAATTCTGCCTCAATTCAGAGACAAAATAATACAAATTTTGAGACAAAATAATCACTCAGTTGTGAGTTTATATCTCACAATTCAGACTTCTTGCAAATGTGAGATATATACACTTGCAATTGTGAGAAAAAAAGTCAATTTTTTATATAATATTATATATACACTCACCGGCCACTTTATTAGGTACACCTGTCCAACTGCTCGTTAACACTTAATTTCTAAGCAGCCAATCACATGGCGGCAACTCAGTGCATTTAGGCATGTAGACATGGTCAAGACAATCTCCTGCAGTTCAAACCGAGCATCAGTATGGGGAAGAAAGTTGATTTGAGTGACTTTGAACGTGGCATGATTGGTGGTGCCAGAAGGGCTGGTCTGAGTATTTCAGAAACTGCTAATCTACTGGGATTTTCACGCACAACCATCTCTAGGGTTTACAGAGAATGGTCCGAAAAAGAAAAAACATCCAGTGAGCGGCAGTTCTGTGGGCGGAAATGCCTTGTTGATGCCAGAGGTCAGAGGAGAATGGCCAGACTGGTTCGAGCTGATAGAAGGGCAACAGTGACTGAAATAACCACTCGTTACAACCGAGGTATGCAGCAAAGCATTTGTGAAGCCACAACACGCACAACCTTGAGGCGGATGGGCTACAACAGCAGAAGACTCCACCGGGTACCACTCATCTCCACTACAAATAGGAAAAAGAGGCTACAATTTGCAAGAGCTCACCAAAATTGAACAGTTGAAGACTGGAAAAATGTTGCCTGGTCTGATGAGTCTCGATTTCTGTTGAGACATTCAGATGTTAGAGTCAGAATTTGGCGTAAACAGAATGAGAACATGGAACCATCATGCCTTGTTACCACTGTGCAGGCTGGTGGTGGTGGTGTAATGGTGTGGGGGATGTTTTCCTGGCACACTTTAGGCCCCTTAGTGCCAATTGGGCATCGTTTAAATGCCACGGCCTACCTGAGCATTGTTTCTGACCATGTCCATCCCTTTATGGCCACCATGTACCCATCCTCTGATGGCTACTTCCACCATGTCACAAAGCTCTAATCATTTCAAATTGGTTTCTTGAACATGACAATGAGTTCACTGTACTAAAATGGCCTCCACAGTCACCAGATCTCAACCCAATAGAGCATCTTTGGGATGTGGTGGAACGGGAGATTCGCATCATGGATGTGCAGCCGACAAATCTGCGGCAACTGTGTGATGCCATCATGTCAATATGGACCAAACTCCCTGAGGAATGCTTCCAGCACCTTGTTGAATCTATGCCACGAAGAATTGAGGCAGTTCTGAAGGCAAAAGGGGGTCCAACCCGTTACTAGCATGGGGTACCTAATAAAGTGGCCGGTGAGTGTATATATATATAAATGTTTTTGGGTTTAATGTTTGTGGCTTGTTGAAAAATGGCTAAAAACTGTTAAAACCACATTATTCACAGTTATTATTCTTGTGCTTTGTGCGAAGAACAGTATTTGATCAAAGTACAGTCAAATGTCAAAGTACAGTAGGAATGAAGACAAAGTGCAGTTAATAACCAATTCCGCATTTTTCAAAATTGCATAAAACATGATAAAGACAGCGAAAACGTGATATGTTAATTTTAATAAAAGCAACAGTTAGGTTGAATTTGTTTTTATTTATTTATATAGTTAGTTATTTTGCATTACAAACTATGTATCGTGTTAATCTTAAGCGTAGTAAGTCATGAGAACAAATGACACTATTTCAAGAGGCTGGCCCATCTGCATTTATTTTTGCTTACATTTTTATGTGTATATCTCCACTTTGTTAGTTTACTGAAAAGCATTAATTTAGTAAGGCAGTTCAAATGTAATTTCCCTGGCAAACGTACACTCCACTCCAGGAGTCCACTTGTAGTCTCAGCTATAGTTTGTTATGTTCAGAGTTTCCTGACACTCATTCTCTCTCCTAGTGTCCCACTGCTCTGTGTGTTACCGGACGATGTTTTCATTAAAGTGTCTGATGCACTGGAGGAGGTGTGTATGACAGATCACAACTATCATAATTCGCTGCTGTACCTGATAAACATCTGAGGACTAAACCTTGAACTTGAAGGTCAAAGCGCTGCTATTACCCAATAATAAGGTGTACCTTGATCAAATCCACTTTTTAGTGTTTGTAACAATCAACCACAACTTAGATATAAAACTATATTTCCACTATATTTTTTACATGGTCTTTATTTATTATTCTGTATATACACCTTCATCTTAGACTCACTACAGTGATGGTGAATATGTCATTCAAAATGGAAGTCCAGAAGATAAACTCTTCATTTTTAGTCAAGGCCAGGTGAGATATCTATCTATCTATCTATCTATCTATCTATCTATCTATCTATCTATCTATCTATCTATCTATCTATCTATCTATCTATCTATCTATCTATCTATCTATCTATCTATCTATCTATCTATCTATCTATCTATCTATCTATCTATCTATCTATCTATCTATCTATCTATCCAACACAGTCTCATCCCAAGACGTCATATGTCTGACGCTTTTGACCATACGTCAACATCCGATGTTTTAGGGTACCCTTCAGCGTCAGTTAGATGACGCGGGTCGGTTTAGGTCTGGGGTAGGGTTAGGATTTCATAGCGCCATATACTGACGTTAAAGGGTACCCTAAAACGTCGGATGTTGACGTATGGTCAAAAGCGTCAGACATATGACGTCTTGGGAAGAGACTGGGCTGATCGATCTATCTATCTATCTATCTATCTATCTATCTATCTATCTATCTATCTATCTATCTATCTATCTATCTATCTATCTATCGATCTATCGGTCTGTCTGTCTGTCTGTCTGTCTGTCTGTCTGTCTGTCTGTCTGTCTGTCTGTCTGTCTGTCTATCTATCTATCTATCTATCTATCTATCTATATATCTATCTATCGGTATGTCTGTCTGTCTGTCTGTCTGTCTGTCTGTCTGTCTGTCTGTCTATCTATCTATCTATCTATCTATCTATCTATCTATCTATCTATCTATCTATCTATCAGTCTGTCTGTCTGTCTGTCTGTCTGTCTATCTGTCTTTCTGTCTGTCAGTCTATCTATATATGTGTCTATCTATCTGTCTGTCTGTCTGTCTATCTATCTATCTATCTATCTATCTATCTATCTATCTATCTATCTATCTATCTATCTATCTATCTATCTATCTATCTATCTATCTATCTATCTATCTATCTATCTATCTATCTATCTATCTATCCAACACAGTCTCATCCCAAGACGTCATATGTCTGACGCTTTTGACCATACGTCAACATCCGATGTTTTAGGGTACCCTTCAGCGTCAGTTAGATGACGCGGGTCGGTTTAGGTCTGGGGTAGGGTTAGGATTTCATAGCGCCATATACTGACGTTAAAGGGTACCCTAAAACGTCGGATGTTGACGTATGGTCAAAAGCGTCAGACATATGACGTCTTGGGAAGAGACTGGGCTGATCGATCGATCTATCTATCTATCTATCTATCTATCTATCTATCTATCTATCTATCTATCTATCTATCTATCTATCTATCTATCTATCTATCTATCTATCTATCTATCTATCTATCTATCTATCTATCTATCTGTCTGTCTGTCTGTCTGTCTGTCTGTCTGTCTGTCTGTCTGTCTGTCTATCTATCTATCTATCTATCTATCTATCTATCTATCTATATATCTATCTATCGGTATGTCTGTCTGTCTGTCTGTCTGTCTGTCTGTCTGTCTGTCTGTCTGTCTATCTATCTATCTATCTATCTATCTATCTATCTATCTATCTATCTATCTATCTATCTATCTATCTATCTATCGGTCTGTCTGTCTGTCTGTCTGTCTATCCGTCTATCTGTCTTTCTGTCTGTCAGTCTATCTATATATGTGTCTATCTATCTGTCTGTCTATCTATCTATCTATCTATCTATCTATCTATCTATCTATCTATCTATCTATCTATCTATCTATCTATCTATCTATCTATCTATCTATCTATCTATCTATCTATCTATCTATCTATCTATCTATCCATCTATCTGTATGTCTATCTATCGGTCTGTCTGTCTGTATGTCTATCTATATATGTGTCTGTCTGTCTGTCATGCAAGAAGAAAGATACAGCAAAGGAGTGATACGAGTGACATGAAACTAGCATGTTTATGTGGGAATCAGTTGGCAAAAATATTTATTTCAGGGTGTTGTATTATAAATTTAGAGATAAATGTAATGTAATAGCATAAAACAATATACATGCTTTTGTTCTTAGGTGAAAGTATTCGAGAAACAATCAGCTAATGAGGAGAACATGATGGTGTGTGTCCTCACCAGAGGGGATTGTTTTGGAGACCGAGCTCTACAAGGGTAAGAGCCCATCCTCACCAGCAGGGGGCAGCACTCTTTACACTGCAGATCATTACCCATTCTTTTTCTCAGTCGCTTTGGTGCATTTCTCAGATCTCAACTAAAATTGAACAACTAAAACCTACTTCTTTAACCTCCACATCATCTAGTCACTTGTGCACATCATAAAAACAATTTATCATTCTTTTCAACATATTGCAATGCTTTGGTACATACATGCAATTGATTATGTACAAATGTCTGCTGTTTCCTATACATTATCAATTGCTTATGTCATGTTTAGTGTTGTTTTTGGCGGCCTGTTTTAATTTTAGTTTTAGTCTAGTCTTTGTGTCAAGCTGTCATTTTAGTTTTTATTAGTTTTAGTCACATTCATACTCTTTTTAGTCTAGTCTAGTTTTAGTCGACGAAAACTGATGACATTTTAGTCTAGTTTTAGTCGACGAAAGACATAGTCTTTTAGTCAATGAAAATTGTATTTTAGTCTCTTTTTAGAATTCTATTTAACCCAGTCAATATAGTACTATATACCTATAGTATAGACAAAACCCAAATTTTCTTTTAGCCAAACCCATTTCAAACAATCTTATCTTCGGTTATCTTATTATATTATTGTTACCTTATAGACTCAAGAATACATCCATTCCAGACACGGAAAATGCTCTGATTTGAATTTACAACATATTTATTTTACCAACCAAACATGTTAGAAGTAGCCTACACACATGATGAAATGAAAGTTTTTCCTAATGTCATTTCTTCTTTTTCTCCCAAAGACGAATCCCTTTCTCAGTGTCAGACTTAACTTTGTTTGTTGTCGTTTATGCTAATGCCTGTTTCACACATACTCCGAATTTTTTTTCCGCACCCATGTAGAGCCTATGGTTAGAGCGCTCACACGCACGCGGATGCGGTCCGTCAATGCGCCCCAGGAGCGGTGCGTGCGTAACAGCAGAGCAGAGATCTACACAGTACCTCAACAACGCGACATAATGGGTGTAGGCTAAAAATATTGATTTGAAATGAAAAATAGAGAATAAATGTTGTGATTCAGTGGTACAGCCGTAGATCAGTTGCGCACTGCAAACGGAGCACAGCACATGTGAAAGCAAAATAGCTCGTGCTGCTCCTGCATACACACCGCAACACGCACCGCATACACACGGAGTAGCCTATGTGTGAAACAGCCGTAACTCACGCAGCTGCATCTTCTAAATAATGCCGCGAGTGGGGCTTGAGGATGTGAAGTCGCCTCCCAGATAGCAAACAGTCATTAAAACTATGTTAAATCAACATTCCGTTGTCAACATTAAGTCATTGAATCAACATCGAACTCTGATGTTGATTCTTCATCATTTTGCACCCTGTTAATATTGAAACAACATTGAAATCCTGTCCATAAATCAACTGAATTTCAATGGTATTTCAATTATCAGGAATATTGAAACAATGTTGAAATTTCAACTGAACTAATTAAGGATCAACGTGATTTCAATGGAATTTCAATCGTTTTTAAATGTTAATTTTACATCAAATGCCATAAATTAAATAGCCTGCTTTATCTACAGCCAGGATGTTAAAAAGTAATGGAACATTTGAAATCTTGTATAAAACACTGAACACACCACACAAACAAATTCATTTTTATTACAACACAGAGCACAACGGAAATGTTTCCAGGGGAACCAAATAAGTGACGAACCCGGCTGGGACGTGCTGGCAAGGGGGTAATCCATCGACCGGAAGTTGAAGCCGGCCGGGTGCCGCCATGTTGTAGCAGAACTTCACTTGCGTTAGCATTTCCATTGACTCCCATTCATTTTGGCGTCACTTTGACAGCGAATAACTTTACATCTGAGGCGTTTAAAGACTCCATTTGTCCATTATTTATTTCTAAAGAAACACGACAATGTATAAAGGGCTCCATTACCTTCTATGTTACATTATGGCCCCGTAGAAACAGTTTTAGTAAAAATAGGCTAACGATTGCGTCATAACCACTCGACTCTCTGTCGCGCTGTACAGAAATTACCGTACAGACAGGAGGAGAAGCTCGCAGGCAATCGGGGGGACGCCCCGTCAAGGGAGAAGCCCATAGATAATGAGTCCATAAAAGCAACGGAATACTTACTCCTGCTCACTCACGCCAAAGAACATCTTTGCTCAAGTTCCCCGTCTCTGCAAGATTAACGTTGGTAATTTTCACGCACAGCTACTAGAAGATTAACGTCTGTCAGACAGGTTGCTCACGTCATCAAGCTTAGTTTGAGTCGGTTTGAGTCTGCGCGTCAGGAACGGAAGTGCTCAGAAATCGCTAAAAATGGGCTTCAACTGTCTCAACTGAGTTCCAATGAGATGGCTCTGTCCATTTCTTATACTGTCTATGCGTGCTGGCATAGGTATCCATAAATCTATGCGTGCTGGTGCTTACAGCTTAAAATTATACTTTATTTATTTGTTTATTTATTTTTTTGTTTGTGCAAAACATACAGAGATTACATTTTTTTTATGACAAACAACTTGTATACAATGTACAAAATGTATTAACAATATGTTCAATGTCATCAGAATACCAATGAGAAAAGAGCAATGAGCTCGAAACTAAAATAAATAAATAAAAAAGATAAAGAAGAAAAACATGAAGGAAAGATATTTATCTATAGATCAGTTACACTGTACAAATTGTTTCATGTTATTACATTTTCATAAAGAAAAGTTTCGTAAGAAATGTTGGGTAATGTAGGGTCCAAAATTGTAAAGTTGAGACACAGATATATAACGCATATTTTAAAAGCTTTTTTTGTAAACTAAAAATAAAAATGTATTTGCATCCGTTATGTTCAGCATCATATTTCTGTTGTAAGACCAGCTGATGGACACCGTGCTGCGTTGTCATGGGAACATCCCAGGTGAAAATAATGAGGAAATTAAGTTGTCTTTAGTTGCTCCCTTCATCAAGTGCGTTCCACACGGCTGCCTAACAGCACACTAGAGCCCTGCTCACTCCAAAAGGGCTCTGCAATCTCCCCTTCGAAGGGAGTATGGCATAGGGAAGCTCACGAGCAATAAGCACGTCTCAGCCGGGTTCGTCACTTATTCGGTTCCCCTGGAAACATTTCCGTTGTGGTCTGTGTTATTTGCCGCGCGTTTCTGTATTTGGTTGTGTTGTGAACTTTTGCAGCGCGTTTCCTTATTTGGAGCACACGTGTGTTGTGAAACTGATGAAGATGTTTTTTTAAGTTGCAGGTGTTTTTTTCTATTTGCACGCCTGTTTTTCTATTTGCATGTGTTTTTTTCTATTTGAATGCGTTTTTTTCTATTTGCACGCGTTTTTTTCTATTTGCATGTGTTTACTTCAGTTGCAGCGCGTTGAGCTGTCTCGGCCACCGTACTCCTGCCCGGTCTGGCACATGTGAATAGGCTGTATGCACAGCTTCAGTACTTCCTGAACTTCAGCCAGCCCTTTGTTTCCTGTCTGTCATTATTGGACAAACTGATTAGTCCAGGTGTGCCTGATTATTGTTACTGAGGCCAGGCACACCTGAATTAATCAGTTTGTCCAATAATGACAGACAGGAAACAAAGGGCTGGCTGAAGTTCAGGAAGTAGTGAAGGTGTGCATAAAGCCAATTGGGTGACGGCGGCTGTCCCCATTTGCTAAGAGCACCTAAAACAGAAAATAAAATCACAATACAAAAAATTAGCATTTAAGTTAAACAGGAGATTATATTTATTTGTATTGGTACATTCGTGCCGCGAGATGAAGTATGTAACGTGGGGCTAAGCCCTTCCAAGTCCCCCCTTGACGCCATTGTCAGGCGCTATAACAGTGCGCGCAAAAATCGTGATATCGCATAAGGACTAGTACATTCATATTTTGGATTTGTATTATGACGATATGGTCTAATCGGCATTCCCAGTTACAACTCGAGACAGTTCTGCATTGAATAAAGTAAAGTAAGTCATGTCTTCTGTGTAATTCTGGCCCGCCGCGGTCACTTCTGTGGGTAGCGCTAGGTGGAGCACTGCTAGCGTTGGTTCCGTCGGTGTTCTCCGGCGGTCAGAAGAAATAGCGGTGCTGTGTTAATAGATTCCACCACACAAGCAACGGGTAGCCTACAGACCTGTATTTTGAGCTAAATATCACAAAAATAGACTGGACTCTGAGGTTTTGCTAACTTTATAACCTAGAAGAGAACTACAAAGTAGGCCTAGCTTCCTACTTTTGGCAGATTTTTACACAGTGGTAAAACAAAAATCTATTTCAGTGACTGCAGCACTGCGTCGGTTACTAACGTTACACTATAACCATCATGTTAACGATCAGCCTAACAGCCTAACAGTATTTGATTTGGTACAATTCATTCATATCAAACATTAAGCAAGCTTATCTTTACGCTTGTGCCAGGTCCAGAAATGAGCTGTGTCCGGTAATGTTACGTTGGTATAACACCCGTTGATCTCCCGGTCAACCAAAAATCTATTGATTTTCAATCATATTTCCCGGTCAACTATATATCGTTGCATTTTCAATCATATGTCCCCCTCAACTAGCCTGGTTCTACCAGACTCTCGTACATTTCATTTGTAATTTCACTGAAGGAAAATAAAACTGAGCGGAAGTGCGTAGGAGGGCGGAGCCAGGCTACCCCTCAACTATATGTTGATGACTTTTCAACAACAGTGTCGTTTCCCGGTCAACTATAAATCAATGACTTTTCAACACATTCATCGCCCGGTAAATCAAATATCAATGCTTAATCAATCATAAAGATAACTATCGATCAATGTTGTTCCAATATCGCTGCCATCAACATTAATAACATCAGGTTTTCATCGACAGGGTAATGGTGATTCAACAGATGGAAAAACGAATCGGTTACCTAACGTAACCTCGGTTCTCTCTAGATGAGGGAACGAGTATTGCGTAAGCTAGCTTACGCTACGGGAAAGATTCATCTTTTCTGAGAAACTGAAGCCAAAAAATTATCCTATAATTT